TTTAACTGTGACTTTAGTTGCTTCCCTAACAATTACAATCTTAACATCTTTAAGTTTTTTACATTGTTGTCCTAATCATTATTGCCATATTCACGACGTTTCGGCTGTTGTACGCTCCGCCCTTCTTCAGGGGATTAGAATTTCGAACCGAACCATTTATTTCTTCCACCGGAGTAGATTATTATAGTTCCACGCGCCATGCCGCTTCTGAATGTCTCAGTTATCTCCCTTTAACTTAACTCTCCAAATTTTTGTTCACCGCTACAGTAGCCAGGTATTGAACTCACAACTCTTTGGGTTAAGTCACTTGATCCAGTCAACGCCTTTATCCACAGCAATGTGTCCTTGATGTCAACTCTTATCTCTTGTATATGTCCTTATAACATGCACTTCCAGCTTCTACATTACCCGCCTTTGCGATAATCTTACGGAGTAATTCTCTACCTTGAGTGGCCCTTGGGCCTTGTATTGAGTGAATAAAAATAAAACACTGATTTCTCGAGCTGCTTTATCTAGATTGCACAATCGGGTTTCAGCCTTTGCATAATCAGCATCTGTGATCGTTTCTGACATAACTTTTGCTTCTAGCTTGTTTTTGGAATCGAAATATATGAAGAACAGAGACCCCTTTGTCTTCATCATATTTGAATGATTCGTTTTTTATGGCTTATCAACCCTTTGCAGATTATTTAAAGCCACAAATCAAATACTGATTGATTGATTCAATGATTTGTTTTCTACGGTTTATCAAACTTCTGCAGAATTTTATAAACAAAAAAAATATAAAAAAATATTGTTATATTGGGGTGGATGCAGCTCGACAGTCCCGGAAGGAAGTTCACCGAGGAGAAGGAAAAGCCCGATTTTAAACGTCCACTGCCTTGCAGTCATATCAAAACACAGAAAAGGCTATGGATGTAAGTTCAGACAGACAACACCGTGGAGCCTCGGAGGCGGTTAGCTGTAAACACTGACACCTTTCCGGCACCTGCTGCAGCCAAGCCGTCCCCAAATGTAATTCCTTGTATTCGTTTGGATCTTGTCGTTACGATCGAGAGGTGCCTTGTAGGTCATGCACATTTAAATTCTGGGAGGAGGGACGAGGTAACCTCAACATTTCCAATGCAAAAGGAACCGAGCAAGCCATTGCACTTTTCTGTCTTGGGTGGCACCATGAATGACAATTGTAAGATGGAGGCGAATGGTGACCACAACGGCACAAAACGATAAAAAAAATTTAGAGGGAGATAATAATAGTTTAGTTTTACAAGTCTTACTGATTAACCTATAGCTGGGGGATAAGAAATGTATTCATACCTAATCAGAATTTGATAAACAAGAAATTATAATGTGGTTATAAAGAGGGAGATCAATTCTATATTATAATCAATATATAAATTGATCCCTCACTTTGTGACCAAGATCATTTCTATGCATTCACATTCCAGAGAATGTAAATAAATCTAAAAGACATGTCTGTATAGTTAATCAGCATTTGATCGACTGAGTGATTAAATTGGTTCGTTTTTTACGGCTTATCAACCCTTTGCAAGTTATTTAAAGCCAGAAAATATTTTTAGATTGAGAGAATTTTAGGGAGATAAAAATTGTTTTGTTACACACGTCTTACTAATTAACCCATAGCTGGCGGGGAGAACAGGTGGATTCAAACCTAATTAGAATTTGATAAACAAACAAGAAATTATAACGTGGATACATAGTGGGGGATCAGTTCTGTAATACAATCAATATATAAATCAATCATAAACATTAAACCAGGGTGAAAGGAGACAACTCCACTTTTGTGGAAATCTATAAAAACCATTTTGTCCAGTTCATCAGCCAGAAAGATGCCAAGTTCTGGGAATATGGAATTATGAAGCTGCCTCGAAGATGGCGAAAGGTACTGGAACAAAATAAGTGTAACCCGGATATAAGAGACCCGGATATAAGAGAAACCCGGATATAAGAGAGATTTTCTCTGGTCCCAAATTAGAGCCTGTGTTAATGTATATAAAATAGACCAAACCCGGATATAAGAGAGATCAGGATATAAGAGACTTCTTCTCCGGTCCCGACAACTCTCTTATATCCGGGTTACACTGTAGTGCGTAGTACGAGTAGCTAAATATTTTCTTTGTTAATTAATGAAGTATTTTTGTTCCAACCCAATAAAAAGGTGTTTACCAAAAATTCAATATATTGTCTAGAGGCTGCGCGATCCGAATGTCGTACGGATATTTACCACAAAGCTTTTGCTATCTTTTATGTGTATAAAAGAACTACAGTGTAACCCGGATATAAGAGACCCGGATATAAGAGAAACCCGGATATAAGAGAGATTTTCTCTGGTCCCAAATTAGAGCCTGTGTTAATGTATATAAAATAGACCAAACCCGGATATAAGAGAGATCAGGATATAAGAGACTTCTTCTCCGGTCCCGACAACTCTCTTATATCCGGGTTACACTGTATGTGAAAGGAGACGATAGAAAGTAAACTTCAGAGAACGTCATTTTTAGCTGTGAAATTAAACGAAATTAAAAATCGTTGTACAGGAATCGAAAACATTTACAACTCATTCGTAGTTTTAATTAAACCGAATTCTGAGATTTCCTCTGGGATGCCTTTCATTGGCGGTTACATAAACATTAAAGACTCTCAACAATGTTTTCTTTCTGCAATTTCCTTATTTTGTTTCATGAGACATTTTTGTGTTTGCGGTTTTAATTCTTCAATTTACCCAATTTCAACTGTAAAAATTTGTTTACCCCGTTTTTTTTTTATCTCAATTAACTT